TCCCCCTCTCATACACCCCCCCCCCCCCCCCCCAATAAGAAACTCAGTTCAACTGCGGACCAGCTCGATGCAGCTAATAAATAAAACTTGTACTGTGCTTACCTTTCGCTCTAGAAAAAAAAAACCTCCTGGGAAAATTGATCGCACCTTCTAGCCGATGGCTGCCAGTATCACATTCCTCCACACGCCGCGCATTCCTGGCCAGGATCACCCTCCCCAGTGTGTAACGATTCGAGGGAGCGCGCACGTTCCTTGCCCTTAGCTCCGCGCTCGTGCACGCTGAAGTCCTTCGTCAGTCATGTTCACCTGGAGACAAATGGCTGGCTGGGGAGTGAGCTGCTAGCTGAAGGCGGTTTACGGCAGAAACGCTTGGTGCCCTGAGCGGTTTTAACCCCGTTAGAAAGAAGCAGCGAATGCTTGCTGTTGCTGAACAAACTCTGAAATATAAGTTGTGAAGATATGCTTTCACATATTTGATAGTCGTGTTGGTACTGGTCTTCTAGCAGCCAGGTTTAAGTTATCAATATCCACCATTAGAGGTGCACCAAAATGGAAATTTTAAAACCATAATCCTCTATGAGTGTTCCTGTTCATTGATAATATGAGAACATTGTTTACTATAAGTACAATTATGAATGAATGGGGATCACTCCCATTCATTCATAATTGAGGATATAGTTAACATACCATATCCTCAATTATGTACAAACACTCGGTGATCGCTGAGTATGTGTACCTTGCTCTTCTCTCTGACACGCAGTCACAGGAGGCTGATCAAGCGGTGTAGAGAGGAAAGCCCAGCCTCCTGTGACAGCGCTGTCTCCGCCCACACACCGCTCTGCCGGACTGTGATAGGTGGCAGAGCAGTGTGTGGGAGGAGGCGCCGGCTGCTCACATCGCTCTCCACCGCATCGCTTGGCCGGCTGTCACTTTCTCTTCTCCCCGCTGGGACACAGAGCAGCGCCCAGCGGGGAGGAAAGAAATCAGGGATGCGCCGATGTATCAGCAGGAAAATGGCACTTTCGGCATTATGCCAAAAGTGCAATTTTCAGCCGATGTGTTTCGGCGGCCGATATATCGGTGCATCCCTATCCACCATGTCAACTTAGTAAGTAAACGGTATCGACAAAAAAAATGCTGACATTTTGCTTTTTTTTTTTTAATTTCAATAAGTTTTTATTGGCATATAAATGTAGAAAAGCAAAATTTGTACATCCATTACAGGTGGCCGTGGCATGTGTGGCTGTAGGGGTAGGGGGGGAAGACAGGTGTGGAAAACGCTTGGGGGGATGCGGGAGTATGGGGGATGTCGAATGGGAAGGAGGGGGGGAGGGGGAAACAGAGGAAGGTGTTCAGGTAGTCTCACGTATGCGATTCTGAAGAGTGACAGGCTGACAAACAGGCAGTCATTTTGAACCAGACTGAAGAGGAAATCAAATCAAGGGACAATTTGCACCGTGGGCGTCACCACCGGGGTGTCAGGGGCCTCACCCAGCCTGGTCGGAATCAGATCCGGAGGCTTGGTTTCGTCGCCGACGGGACGGTGAGCGGGTTCTCCGCGGTAGGGCCGAGGTGGGAGTCGGCGGCTGTTGGGTCGGCGATCGGCTGCGGTGGGCCTGCAGGTCAGCCGTTTGCTCAGAGAAGCCCAGAGTATTCAGGTGGTGCTGCATCTCGTCCCGCATTATGCCTGAGTAGGTGCGACCATTGAGAGCGAAGGATAGTCGGAAGGGGAAGCCCCAGCGGTACGGAATGTTGCGGGCTTGCAGGACCTTCAGGACCGGTTTCATCTCCCTCCTCTTGGCGATAGTGGATGGGGCCAGGTCCGCAAACACTTGATACTCGTACCCCTGGAATGTTAACGAGGGCCTGTTCCGTGTCGCCTGCAGGATGCTTTCCCTGGTGCGGAAGTATAGGAACTTAACTACCACATCCCTGGGGGGACCCGATGTAGGCTTCTTGGCGAGGGCCCTATGTATACGCTCAAACTCGAGCCGTTCAAGCGGGTACGAGGGTAAGAGTTCCTGCAAGAGGGCGGTGACAGTAGCTTGGAGGTCTGTTACCGTTTCAGGGATCCCCCGGAATCGGAGATTGGACCTCCGAGAGCGATTCTCCAAGTCCTCCAGTTTGTAATGAAGCGTCAGGTTTTCATCTCTCAGAGAGTCAAAGTCCCGGGCATAGGTGTCTAGCGTTGCTGAGGTGTCGTCCATTCGGGCCTCCAGGTCCGCTGTACGGTGACCCAGGTCTCTGATTTCTTTGGTCAACCGCTCCGTTATTTGTTTGGAGGTCGTCTGTAGGGCTTTGTTCAGCATTTTATCGATACGTGCTAAAAGCTCTTTATGGTCAGGGGTGACTCGAGTGGGAGACGGGGAGCTGGCACGACTATCTCCTTCCTCATCTCCTCGTGATGTAGAGGCCGCCCGAGTGAAGGGAGAAGCGCGAAGCCCGGCCGGCGCCATCTTGAAGGCCGCCCCGGCCAGTGCTTCCTTGATGTTCGGTGGCTTTTGCCTGGTTTTGGAGCCTGGGCGCGACATGGTTCTGGCTCTTTAGGCGTGGAGGGAGCTGACAGGCTTTCAGGGAGCAGTTTTGGGCCAGTCTGGAAGGCTGTAGAGGCTATTCGGGTCCCGGCAGGTACGGAGCCAAACTAAAACGCGTCCGTCCTAGTTCGTCACGCGCATGTGCCCCCGACATTTTGCTTTTTTTTTAGCAGAAGAGACTATACAAATCGTCGGCGAATCTACCAATCTGTGGGGTTGTCTATTGGGATGATATACTAATTTTATCTGCGGACCTGTCCATTCACAGACCCCATATCCGTTGTCTCTTGCAACGCCTCTGTGAAAATGGACTCTATGCTATTGCCAAGAAATGTCTCTTCAAACTCTCAGATGCCTTTACTGGGCTTTATAACTCTAAAGATGGTCTACCCATGGACCCTGAGCTACCATCTCCAAGTGCCCAACAATCTTAAAGCTACACAACGCTTTCTAGGATTTACAAACTACTACTGGCAGTTAATCAACAACTACTCTGTTCTTGTTCCCATTACCACTTTTTTAGGTATGGGTTTTGCGTTCAGATTGACCCTAAGTTTGACACGAACAAAAAGTCACAACCAGTTACCAACAATGCACTTTCTGGCCTCTGAGCTGTGGTCATGTGGCATAGAAGGGTCAATCACTGATTTTCTTATATGTTGGCCTCCTGCCTATAAAAGTCAGGGTTTTTAACAACCTTTGTTCAGTGTTTGTTAGAAGAGACATGGAGTATTATAGGAAAGCTCACAGAGTGGTTTTGTTTTGCTTTAATGTATTTATATATGTCTTTTACTTTTAGGTTTAAGAAAAGAAACCTTTTAGGGTTTAGTAAAACTGATTACAAAAATGGAAAAAACCTAAATAGATAACATTTAGGGCTCATTCACACCCAATGCATTTTGATGCATTTTCAGCAAATTAGAAATGCATATACACAAAAAAATTGTGTTTTTTCAGTTGTGTAGTTCACACCGTTGCATAGAGCAGGCGACATTATTTTCACACTGCAAACACATGTAAACACATCTCTTTTAACCACTTTCAGCGGGTTTACATAAATACACGTCATCCGCTGGAAGGGGTTATACCACAAACATGGCTGCTAATGCAGCCGTGTTCTTGGTACCGGTTTAAACAGCAGACGATTGCTGTTTAAATACAAGTGATGCAGCATGGCTTCCCGGGCTCCACTGTGCCCAGTGCGAGACCGGGACCGGCATGGTGGGTCTCCGCTGATGGATCGGAGGGAGAACAGCAGGCTTCCAGCTGCTGATCACTGGACCCGTAGGTGATGTGCATTACATTACTTCAGTATCACTGTGCACACTCTCTGGCTCCTAGAGCCAGAAGAAGAAGCTGGTGAAGCAGATTAGGGGTCTGAAAGACTTCTGATGTCTCCATAAAGAGGACCTGTCACATTATATTTGTTATTACATAGGGGGCTTGTTAGCCCCCCTATGTGATAGCAATTAAGTTGAGTGTAAAAAAAAATTGTAAAAACTAAAGTAATAGATAAAAAAAATGAAAAATGCAAAATACATTTTTTAAAGTGCCCTGCCCCCCATGTGCATGCACATACAACGCAAACACACGTCAGATGCGTCTACGTGCAAAAACGAAAATTGCGCCACACATGTTACATATCGTTCGGAGCGTCAGAGTGAGAGCAATAATTCTAGGCCCATCAATCACTGTTAACACTAAACTTAAGAGCTGTAAAAGTGTTTAAAGCGTCACCTATGGGAAATTTTGGTTATTGTAGTTTTTTGTGGTTTCACAGACCCACAGAATTTTAAGGCTTGCCATGTTTGGTATCTATTTACCCTGTCTTTTATATTTTACAAAAAAATTGGGTATTATATTCTATTTCTGTGCACTACATTTCATTTAAGTGTATTTTATCCTAAAAATACTTGTTTGATAAACATTTGCACAAATACCGTGTGACATAAAAAATTGCAACTAGCATCTTTTTATTCTGCAGTGCCTCTGCTTTCATAAAATATATAATTGTATTGGGGTCTGAAGCTGTTTTCTAGCCAAAAGTTCAGATTTTATCATGTGTGCAAATGTAAGAAATTGCTCCGGTCAGCAAGTGGTTAATAGTAGGAGTGATGGTACCTCCTAAAAAATGCATGTGCATTTTAGATGCGTTTTATGCGGTTTTGGTGGAAATAGGCCCTTATGGCAGGTTCATACCACATGCAGTGTATTCAGGGCACTAACCCTGCCTCCCACGTTCTGGCGTGGGAGGGGGGGTGGTGGTGCCATTCATGTCAATGGCACCGCAGACACGCCTAACACACGCAGTGCAATCACTCACACCAGAACGCATGGTACAGCAATGCCCTTTGTTCCGGTGCGATCACATACAATAGTGCATGCACCAGAATGCAGGGCATTGCTGTACCATGCGTACTGCGGGTGGTAGGCGTGTCTGTGGTGCCATTGACATGAATGGCACCACCACGCCCCCTTCCACCCCAGACCATAGGAGGCACGGTTAGTGCCGTGAGCGTACACACCCGGCACCCGCCCATTTAACTCTCCACCCACCATTTCAGGCCAGCACCCGTCCAATCATTATAGCCACTGCCCGAAGACCGCTGGAGAGATCCACATGCTGCCTTTGTGAGATTGGCATGCAGCCTGGTGACATGACGTGTATTCAGC